ATCTCTTTTCACTCTTCACCGATGGCAGACACGATGTGACTGTAGCCAGCAGTTATGGAAGTTTCGGTTGCATTCGGGTGAAAAGCAAAAATCATGAAACTCAATCTCACCACAGTTTGTTGAGATTTGCAGCTGGTGAGTTTTGTTAGCTTGATATTCCGAGCTGCGACATCACAGCTTGCAAAATCTACCGCAGTTGTCTGCTTGTTGATTTTTGTCTACGAAAATCAAGCGTGATCTTGGGCGTTGGTGAGATTTGATTTTTTGATATTTTCCTTACACTGCTTTTGTCCAACAGAAAGGTTTTGGCTTCATAGTAGCGATCGCTCAAGTGCATGCTTAGCTTCCCATAATAACTCTCCTCATCCTCGAAGTCTTAAACTAAATCTTTCCCACAAGGAGGATTTCAAATCGTCCCTCAGTTGCTTCAAGGATGAGGATCCTTTCCGGGTTGTGGGTGGTATGATGATGTGATGCCGAGCAACCGGTATAGAAACTGGTGGTGTAGTATTCTGCGTATAGTCTCCACTTCGGCGCACATATACTTTTGTAACTGTTCTATTATGAATCCAAATTCGAACCAAAAGTAGGAAAAGGTCCACATAAATTTTGCCTCGGTGTGGATCACTCAATTTTAGGTTGAAGTTCATAGAAGAGTAAAAAACGGGGGTGTAATATCCAGAGAAACCCAAGCCTTGGCTGGGCATTTACTGTGGCAACCTACCTGGAGGTACCAACATCAGTATCAATCCAATGATATCCAATGAATCCCACACCAAATTGGTTTAAATGTTGCCTTGATCGGGGAGAATGTGAACGTGTTTATATCGGTTGCAGTGCGAAGATGATGGCTATGTAATACCCGTATCGCTAGCGTCGGTAGGACATATACCGTGTAACTAACCTGGAGAACTAAAGGGTTATACGGTCAAAATTTGGTCAATATCAACTTGACGTATTTCTTTCAATTTTGCATTTAAAAAACCTGAACACCCCTCATTTTGAAGGTGTGTGTGTGTAGAATGTTGCTCCTATTTTGATTTTGGAATTCACTCTTCAGTTGTCAAAATGCCGTCCAAGCAAGAAGAGCAGCGTATCAAAATTTTGCTCGCGCATCGCGAAAATCCGAGCTACTCGCACGCAAAGTTGGCAAAATCGCTAAAAGTTGCCAAATCAACCGTTACAAATGTAATTAAAGTGTTTGGGGAACGTTTGTCGACAGCCAGGAAGTCTGGATCGGGGGGAAATCGAAAACCGGAAGCCACTGAGACGACAAAGAGAGTTGCCGGTAGTTTCAAGCGAAACCCTAACCTCTCTCTCCGAGATGCCGCAAATAAGCTGGGTGTATCGTCTACAACCGTGCATCGAGCCAAAAAACGAGCCGGACTATCGACTTACAAGAAGGTAGTGACTCCAAATCACGATGATAAACAAAATACGACGACCAAAGCGCGATCCCGGAGGCTGTACACGACGATGCTGACGAAGTTTGACTGCGTGGTAATGGACGACGAAACCTACGTCAAAGCCGACTACAAGCAGCTTCCGGGACAGGAGTTTTATACGGCAAAAGGAAGGGGAAAGGTAGCAGATGTTTCCAAGCACATGAAACTGTCAAAGTTTGCAAAGAAATATCTGGTTTGGCAAGCCATCTGTACCTGTGGCTTGAAAAGCAGCATTTTCATAGCTTCCGGGACTGTCAACCAAGAAATTTACGTGAAAGAGTGTTTGAATAAACGTCTGCTGCCTTTCCTGAAGAAACACGGTTGTTCCGTACTGTTTTGGCCGGATTTGGCATCTTGCCATTACGGTAAAAAGGCCATGGAGTGGTACGCCGCCAACAACGTGCAGGTGGTTCCCAAGGACAAGAACCCTCCCAACACGCCAGAGCTCCGCCCAATTGAGAAATACTGGGCTATTGTCAAGCGGAACCTAAAGAAGACCAAAAAAACTGCTAAGGGCGAGCAGCAGTTCAAGGCAAACTGGCTTTCTGCGGCGAAGAAGGTGGACAAGGTGGCTGTACAAAATCTGATGGCAGGGGTCAAGCGTTAGGCCCGGCAATTCGGATTTGGAAAAGCGGAAGCCTAACTGAATATTTTTCCTGAATTTTATACTAATTGAACTTGAAAAAGAAATTTAATTTGATTTTTTAAATAAACGATTTCACCGATTTACACGCGTTTTCCCTTGACCAAATTTTGACCGTATCACCCTTTAACACCCTATATGCAGCACTTCAAATTACAGGGCTTGCGTAGCGTTAATTGAAGAGGATGTACGGAATTTCAAAAAGAATTGTTTATTTATGTATAGCCTAGATCGACAGTGACATATGCAAAAGTTCACTCACTCGGGAGGGAGTAAATTGTCACTCCCTTTTCTGCCACCGTCCTTCAGATTGAAACCAGCGTTATCGAGTGATACGGGATGCACATCCGTTGCTTCGCTAAACCATCCTTCATTTAAAACCGCATTGAAAGCTGTCCTTAGGTTGCAGGATGTTCCGTTTCATGAAATGGATTGAACAACACGGATCGAAATGTTGGCATTAGTAAACATGCAGGAAGTGCTTCGGCTAGACAAACTTATCAACAAAAATCAGACAAAACCTGACCAAAGCAAATATTTCTGCTAATTCGGTGCACCAGTGTAGCTAAGGATTACCAAGAGTTGATCCAAAATCAGCCAAATTTCACTACATGCAACGAAACGCCACAAAAGATTCCACAGCATCCAAAGGTTTCACTCCTCAATGCGAATTCAAATTCCAAAATTGGGTACTATCTTCATCCCCTTTCCTAAGCGGCGATAGCGCAATTTGTCCACTAATGAAACGGCGATTGTCCTATTATTCGCCGGTTGGCGATGGCGATACTCCAAAGGAGCCTATGTGTTCTACCTTGCGATGGCGATTCCGCACGAATACGATGACACTCTTCGTCCAACTAGTCCCGGGTTAAGTATCCGGTTCGAAGCACCAAAATGTTGACTAGCCGGCTTTCCTCCTTCGATACGTGCTGGCAGTGGAACCTCCGTGTCGACTCCAACACTGCTTGGGGTTAATTTATTGGCTGTCGTAGCTTTACCATCTGTCTACTGATGTTGTTTTCGGAGGAAGTCTAGGTGGGCGTCACATCTAAATTGTAATTCTAGTTGCTCGAATCAATCTACGATAAATCTTCTTTCATTTAACGCATTTACTTGCATCGTGCATCATCTTTTGGCCATAAATCTTCTGAATCGTCAGCGATCTTTTTTTCTATCTACTCACCGTGCGCGCAGCTAACCACAGCAAAACAAATCTTTCCTGCATCGTAGATAGAGTCACCCCCCCTCTCGATCTGATCATCGCGTGACCTATGCTCGCCTAGACCAAATCTCCCTCTTGCGCTGTGCAGGAATCTACCTACGTTCGGCGACCATCGGTGATACGAACAGTTGCACTCTCTTGGGTCCTACTACGTTCGATCGCTGCAATCCCCTACATCATATGGACATCTCATCTGGCGCTCGCGCTGTTGGTCCCGACCGAGCGTAGGCACTAATGGTGATGATGTAAAATAGCCGTGGTTTGTTTCCTAGTTCTTGGTATTGTTTCCATTAGCCATGCAGCAGTATAGATTACGATCCAGAGCTGTCGTTTTTGGGTGGTTCAGTTCCGAACACATAGCTTTCAAAAAGTGGCTCAATCTTGAAATTTGGTAACCTAATTGCCGAGAACCAGCCATGTCAACATGCATCGACACGCATGTTGCACCCTTGGGGTTATGTCAGTTAAGCAAACAAAATCTTAACTCACGCATCCTACCGCAAACCGAGCAACGCACCAAACGTAGTAAACGCGAATAAACAGCAATGAAAAAAATATATCATTCGAGCACCCTCAACTGGAACGCACTCCCCAAATAAACTTATGATCAGCGTCCGGTGGCGATCTAGAGAGAAACTTCCACGCACACTCTCTGCACGATCAACACTTCTTCCATTATCACCATCACTCCCGCTCCATTCAAACACTGCAATATCAAATGTGCTTTCGGTATCTTTACTTCTTCGAACAGACCACTCTCACTAAGACAATTAACTAGCTCATCGCATCAAACAATGGATCAACCGCGTCATACCGGATCACAAAAGAGAGCAGCAGCGATTCCAAAAAAAAAGTTTGCAGAAAATAAATTAATTATTGTATTAATTTACACTGCACTGGGCCCGAAACTAATAAAATACGATTACCGGTTCAAAATATCACAACCAAAAAACTCAGTTAAGAACAATACGTTTGCAAAACAATAATTTAATCATATTATCACACGTTTACCTCAGAGCATATCGCTCTGATTTAGGTATGATTTAAGTAAAGTCTTGTTACATGACAGTGAACTGTTGCCTAGTGCGATGGACTGTAGCACTGAGAAGAAACACAGAAGTGGTGATGCTCCCAGAGTCGTTGGTGTTTTAGCCAGTTATGTTGAAAAGGACCTATCCTCTTATAAAAACTTTGTAAGCCCTTCCCTCGCAAACCGAAAGCCACCCACGCAAATAAATGTCATCATCGTGTTGGGAAATCTTTCCCCTTCCTACGCTTTACTTAGGCATATGAAGTTTTGTTTACAAAAGCTGATAAGCCTTTTCAATTCGCCTTCCTGGCGTCGGTAGCATTGTTACTCAGTATGAAAAACAAGAACGACTGAAAACAAATCAAGGAAAAAAAAACCTTTTCAATAGTTGGTCGATATATATTTAAATTTGTACAATTTTAAGGACAGGTGCTCCAAAACTTGATTTGCATACAGGCAAAATTTAAAATTACTGCTCAATTTATCATAACAGAACCCAGTTGCAACATGTCAAATCAAAAATCTATCGTATAAACTAACCCAGCAAACATTTAGAATCGCTTCCAACTCTCAAATGTTTTGGTCAGAGTTTATTATAATATATTCAACACGTTTCATTGACCTAGCACACTTTAAAAGCTAATTATGGCGATCATTATACTAAGCTATAATTCGCCTCTCAAGTTGAACCGAATGATCCGTCGACAGCCTCAACGTGATTCCTAACTTGTATCTCATCTCTTCGTGTTTTAGTTTCGTGTGCAGCTTGAATCGTCGCAAGATGTAAACGACCATCACTTTGATGCTGATCTTTGCATATCGTTCACCTAAAATAGTAAGGCGAAACAAGATACAATTTCACATTTTCACTAACAAGTTTTCCTCCTTAAGGTGTTTCCTTGTAGAGTCCTTTTTCTTTTCGCACTTGGCAATATCAAGAGCACAAATCTCAAGATTTACGAAGTTTATAAATCTTTCAATTTCAAACATTGCTTGCTTCTTCGCAGTAAACAACAAGTAGTAGCTTTAGCAACGTGCATTCTCAAAAGCCTAATATTTTGACTTGTGGAATTACGAACTGTAATGCGAAAAAGGACACTACAAAGAATGGCCTTAAAACCTCACCAATACAATTTCTTGCGCCTGCACTGAACGGCATGTATGCATTTGGATTCCGGTTCCGACACCGTTCCGGAAGGAAGTTATCCGGATCAAACATTTCCGCATCCGGTCCCCACATATCCTTCCTTCGGTGCATGGCCCAAAAAGAGAAGATAAATAGATTTTCTGCCGGAATGCGAACTTCATCCACTACGATGTCCTTGATGCACTTCCGTGCAATGTTGGACGCCACCGGGCAGTGCCTCAACACCTCCTTCAGGAACATTTCCGTGTACTCGAGCCGTTTGAGCGATTCGCCGTTGATTGCCACGTCCTCGGTTGGACAGTGTTCCATGATTTCGGTGTAGACCTTCTCCTGCAGGTGTGGATACATGGCCAAGAAGAGGCAGGCGTAGGCCGTTGCCAATCCGCTAGTGTCGTTGCCCTTTGAATTGAAGAGAGGTTTCGGTAGGTTCAATGCAGAAAAAGAGTTAAAGCTTGGGAGCACATACCGCAGCCATGATCACAAAAGCGTTATGGAAAATTTCCTCATCGGTGAACGGTCGGCTGCTGTGGGATGTAGTGAGAAGTTGATCGATAAAGATTTGAGGTTTTTTGAAATCATCTTCCTCGGGGTCAGAATCCAACGGTGGAGCAGGGACTGATAGGCGTTTGGCTTCCTTCTTTTCCTGGAGGATCTAATGAAAGTTGGAAGTATTATTGGGTTTCCCATCTTTTCCCTTTTTATGAATGAAACTCACTTTGTTGGTGAATAACTTACTCTGCTTACGAGCGTTTCGTTCTCTCCAATAATACGGAGTGAGCATGTAGACCAGATCCGAGTACAGATGAATGTGCAACATGCGTCTCGTTATGCACTCCAGTAATCTGCAAGCCAATCGAATTCATCACTTGACTTTTTTTTTGACTTAAATGATCTATATTTCTTGAATTTGTGTGGTTTACATGTATAACTTATCAAGTGACACAGATGCGTCTTTTCAACTTAAGTTCCTGTGAAATTTCAATTATTATTAATTACAGTTCCTAGTCCTATCAGGCCTGTTTTACAGAATGACCACCTTGGTGGGATTGGTTTGTTAATCGAATTCATCATCTCAAAGATGATCTATAACGTATCCCCAACTTACTCTTCCAGCGATTCCAGAAACGTGTCCTTTCCGTCCCTCTCCAGCACGTCACTACCTAACGTCGTACCGCAAACCATCTCCAGTGTACATCGCGACGTGTACTTGAACATGTTGACTGTCTCGCCGTCCTTGCACTTGCCCAATTCATCCACCAGCTTAAGACTACATTTCTCAAAAATGGGTAAAAAGCCATGCAGGATCCGAAGGTTAAACGTTGGATTCAACGCCTTTCGTTGGCTTTTCCATAACTTCACTAGAATTGATCACATATTAGTCAACTATAATTCAACTCATCTACAAACTAATCACACATTTTGCATGCAGGATCCCTTGATCGAACTTGATAAACTTGTAGAAGTACGGTTTCTCCAAACAATCTGGATCGGACAGAACCTTTTGCACCAGATCCGGATGACTGACGCCCAGCACCAGCATAGAGCCCAACGTCATCCGGAACAGGTGATCATGTTGCAGGAAAAGCTTGTTCACCAGCTCGAATCGTTCCTCATGGTCCAGATTAAGCAGCGTATAGTTAATGCCAAGAAATGACTTTTCGGGGGCAACTTCCGGCAGATCTTTGGCAAATGCTCGACTTCTCCTGATATGATTACGGATTATGAAGTATGTCAAAAGAACACTTATCAGCAGCAAAAAGGCGAACATTTCGAATAATGACTTGCTGGAAAATTTCCTTCAACCCAAATGGTTAGATCGAGCGCTCAAATGCTACTGACCGTTGGTTGGAGCTGCAGCAGATTCCGTTGCAACTCAAATCGACTAAACGCTTGGTTGGTTTAATGTTAGCATTTTGATTTAATTTTCGCGAAAAGTTATGAAATGCACCTATGTTCACAGTTGGGGGACATGTTCCAAAATAATAATGAAATTGAGTAAAAGACGAAGAGGTGATCGAGGAACTAGAAGCGACAGTGCGTAGCTTAAGTGGGTAGTACACTCTGTACCTATCTAAAAATCGATTTTTTTTTTGGTCTATAGCAATTCCTTGGAATGTCTATTTTATGGGAAACTTTACCCGCAGTCCGCCCTTCATTCCGTTTGAAAGTAATAGGCCGAAACGCGAACCAAAGTCCTCGCCCGTGCTCCGACGCGCGCTCTATGATCCCGTCATGATTTGTCAATTTGGCATGGGTGACATCTCAAAAACTTTTCATCCGATTTGCAATTCGTTTAAAATAATATATCCTAAACTGTTTTCTACCTGCGTACGTAGCCGACGTTCGATATTTGGTTCACACTTTTGTCTTCATTTTTCGTGTGAGAAAATTGACTAAATATTTAAATCGTCCCTAATTTTTTTTTAAATCAACAAATCGAAAAAATCCTACGTACGTACATTAGAAATGTATCTTAAAATAAGAGAAAAGAAAACTTTGTTCTATATTCACATGGGTGAGCAGTGGAACCCACTCCTCTTAGGAAAATTCGGCGGTGCAGCAGTCACGGGAGTGGTCCAATAGGAACGAAAAAAATCACTGTCAAATTTCATTCATGAATAAATGAACCTACGAATTTCCTTTTTTTAACAGATGTTTATCGAGCCCCGAAAAAAAATCCTAAAGAAAGACTATTTTCCGGGCCCCCTGAGTGTAGTACCCCCTTAATCGTACTGTGTCGAGTTATAGTACGTTCAGACTGCAGAGTTATAACATGTTATAGCGCTATCTTGATGCTGGTTTCTGTTTTGCAATTATTTGACAACCGTTATAACATGTTATAACTCTCCAGTCTGAACAAGGCATTAGACAGCAACAAGCCACCGACCGTTTCGTTAGCATCGATGGTGTTGTGTGGTGTCGTTTGAAACTGACTCCAAATTTAATCTTCAACTTGGCCTTGTCTTCAAGGTGCATTGCGATTGCGTTTTTTTGATGATGAGAAAGTGGTAAACGAACAATCTTCAACGTTTTCAATTATCACTAAATTAAAGCGTCACATGCAGGATACAACTGGCAATTTTCGGTTGCGAATAAAAAGTTTATTCAAGAATAAGGCTGCATTCTAAAATAATTGAATGATAATAAAAGGGAGTTTAATACACAAGTTAATTTCACATCAGAGGATTGGAATTGGAGGCTCATAAGGTTTGCTGGATAAAAACACCAAAATAAACCAAAATAATTTAGCATTTTCACGCCAAATAGCCACCAGGTACGACATGATTGTCTCCGATATGAATAAAACTTTACTCATAGAAGAAATTGCTCTTATGTTGGCCTATGGATCTTAGATTGGGCCCATCGCTAAAAATCTACTTTTTATCAATTTTATCTAGAAGAACGCGTCATTGGGACGGTACTTGAGGATATTTTTGATCGCTATTGAAAATTTAGTCGATTGCTGAATTTATGTATGTGCCCAAATTAAGGGCATTTAGGCCGAAAATACATTAATTTCCCTTATATTGGATACTACCCAAGGTTTCATTTTTATTAAAATATATTTTTTCTCAAGCGTAACTTGTTACAACGCCGTATTATAAAATAGATTTTATTTTTGCAATAAACTTCAACTATCAAACGATTTATCTGATGGAAATAACGTTTGAGCGAAGTTTTTTTTTTCTCTTGGATTTGTTTTCGGTCAATCTTGTTAACCGTACTGAGTACCAATGCTACCGATGTCAGGGAGGCAGCTACCACACCTGGACTAGACACTAGCAATCCATCAACTCATGGACCGGGGATCAATTAAATATTCTATTAGATAAAAAAAATACACTGAAAAAAAATCCAAATGCAAAAACTAAAACTCTTATTTTCTTGAAGGCCATCCCGAGCAACACAGATAATATTGTTGTTTATAAATAAACTTGACAAAGCTCAATCGTATTAACTTTACAGAGCCAACAATTTTTTTCACTCTACAATACATCTTAAAACTTTAGTCAAAAGGTACAAACACATTATCTTCTGCTATCCAATAAATCTTGTCCATCAGAACGAAATCCGCTTCCAGTGGTTTCATTGTATGGCAGTATCATGATGGTCCCACCTCTCTCCCCTACATAGGTTTGAGTTGGACGATTTATCTTTAAGATAATTAAATTAAATGTAAACATTTCAACCAGGTTAACAAAAAAACGAACTGGTTACATTACAGATGTAAATTCCCTCTAGAGTTAACAGTTGCTTCACAGCGATATAAATGTGGAAAATCTCAGGCGTCCACCTCTTAGTTCGCCTTTTTGTCCACCTAAAATATTCATAAGTATTACAAGCAATCAAGAGTTATTGAACAATCAACAAAGCATCCTATTACACTAGCAACCCCGCAATCTGATGCTATCATAATGTTCAGCATAGTCAGGAATGCTCACGAACCTCCAAAATTTGCCAGAAAACTTAGTACTACCTCAAGGTATCTTCCAAATAAGCTTCAAAATTGCATTTTTTTTTTTCACATGTTCAATTCAGTCCTCTATATCCGTAATAAGCGCGCGAGGCTCAAACCTTTGTAGACTACTAAAAAATTTGTTTTACTACTACTACTAAATAAAATATCAAAAATCCATCATCACCATCGTGGCGAGCAAAATAGTTTTTACAGTGTTAGAATAATTATTAAAAAGTCGTTATAACAGCAATCCATATAAAATAATCCGTTAAAAATTACTTCGTCAAGATACATTATTTGTCGATTCATTGAAAAAATCACTGGATAACCGTTAAAAAGACAGTTTAAACGTGTGAAATGCAATGTCAATGCTAATGTTGTTGCACGTTTAATGTGTCTAGGCAGCAAATGGAAAACATTTATTCCTTTAAAATATAATGAATTTTGTGAAGCACAAGTCAAGAAAAGTGGTGTTCTTAATTCATCCGCGTTTCTTTTATTATATCTATGATAATCACATCCTCTTTCAATTCGATCACACAAATATCGAGGCAGCAAACCGGTAACTACTTTAAAAATAAACACCATAGTCAAATATACAATTCTTTGCTTCACCGACAACCATTGTAAGCCGTCTAGCATCAAAGTTGAGGAAGTAAATCTATTACATCGCAAAATCAAACGCATTATTTTATTCTGCAAGCACTGTAATCTCGATATTTGTGTTCCATTGGACAGAAATAAAATGGGTGGGCAACAGTCTAGATGAGAAGAGATGATTGATTTGTATAGCTGTATTTTACTGGCAAAATTAAATGGTTTTCAATCGACACAGAATTCCATACTTCTTGACATTTTTTTTTTGATGGCATTGTCAATGTGAGAGTTGAAATAAAGTTTGTCACGCCAAAATATTTAATCTCCCGAACGCGATCAATAGTCTCATCATCAATTACAACAGAGACGTTTTCAGTTACTCGATTCCGATTAGTTTTACTTGTATTCAGTTTTAACTGCTTATTCTTCAACCATCTACTTAGAGAAAGCAAATCTTCATTCAAATGTAAAACTGCATGATTAAATCCTTAGCTGCAATGAATAACACAGTATCATCTGCAAAAAGATTAATGCCGCAAAACCGTTAAACACGTCGCAAGTCATTAATATACATAATAAATAACAGGGGCCCAATACACTTCCCTGGGGCACTCCAAGATAATTCCCCACGGGACTGGAAACAAAATCATTAAAAACAGTCCGTTGAGTTCTGTCAGACAAATAGCTTTCAAACCATTTATATACAGTACTCGTAATTCCAAAGCGCTTGATTGTACTTAACAGTAAGGGCCTTGAAATTGTTTCAAAAGCGCGTTTCAGATCCAAAAAAATAACAGCAACAATCGTATCTTTACGCTCCAAGTTGTCTTTCCACTTTGCTAACATGAAATTCAACGTAGTTTCACAAGAATGACCTTCCCAATATCTTGATGTTCTGGTATCAACAAACTATTCCTATTTAAATATTCCACCAGCTGGCCTTTAACAACAAGTTTAAAAATTTTCTCTAATGTGTGCAAGATGTTGATGGGACGAAACTCTTCGGCTTTGATCGTTCCAGCAACTTTTTGAATAGGAACCACCAAGGATCCCTTCCAAATTTGTGGTACATGTCCAGTTTGTAATGATTCATTAATAAGGCCCAGCAAATTGTGGCCAATGACATGAAAGCAATCTTGAATAACTCTAGCATTAACATTACCTACTCCAGCCGATTTTCCTAGTTCAAGTTCATCTAATGTAATTGGGTGAAAACCTTCAAATCTTACTTACCTTACCAATCAGCCTTGTTGTCCTCTGCTGTCCGAAGAAGTCGTCTCCACTCTACTCCATCCATGGCCACAGTTCGCCAGCCTCGTAGTCTGCGAAGGGTCCGCAGGTCATCTTCTACTTGGTCGATCCACCTTGCCCGCTGTGCGCCTCTTCTTCTTGTTCCTGTTGGGTCGTTTTCTAGAACCATTTTCACTTGGTCGTCGTGTGGCATTCTTACGACGGGCCCAGCCCACCGTAGTCGCCCAATTTTCGCAATGTGGACGATAGATGGTTCTCCCATCAGCTGGTGCAATTCGTGGTTCATTCGCCTCCTCCACGTTCCATCATCCATCTGCACTCCACCGTAGATGGTACGCAACACCTGCCGTTCGAAAACACCAAGGGCGCGTTGGTCCTCCACGAGCGTAGTCCAGGTCTCGTGGTCGTAGAGGACCACCGGTCTAATCAGCGTCTTGTAGACAGTCAACTTCGTGCGGCGG